AGTGTCGCGAAATGATGATCCGTTGCCAGGAGAAGGTTTTTTCCAACATTGCCAAGCTACAATCAGATCAACGGGAGTACGGACAACGGCAGAGCAATCAAATGGATGCCGATAGGATCTACAAACGCAGCGAGGAGAAGCTGACTGCAGCTCTCAATTACATTCAATCGAAGAAGAAGGAACCGGAAAAGAGTCAAAAGTTTCGTCGAGCTCAAGTTGATTACAACCAGGTAGGCTTAATTTTCTTCTTTCTCCCACCTCTTCTGTTCGTATTTGAATTGTGCTAGATGCTTTCCACTCACAACGCGCTTCCTTTCTCATCCTTTACAGAAATTCCAAGCCTTTGAGAATACGGTTATAGCTACGCACCATGCTCGTAATGAGTACCTGATTCAACTCTGCGCCGCCAATCAGAGTATTCATCGATACTTCACTGACGAACTATCAGACATACTTGATGTAAGTTAAAACTTTACTTTGTATAAAATGATTCAATTGCCAATCATTAACGTGATGGAATAACACAGAGTATGTAGTGGCCTTAGTTCAACATTTTAAGCGACGTATTTATATCAAATGGCAGGCGTTTTGATACTTATCATTAGCTCTTTAGTTGACTTCAGTCTTTACAGAGGGGAAGGAACATCAAAGTGTAAAAAATTCAAGAGGGGGGGGGGACAGAAGAGTGTATCAAAGACGAAGGTAGATAAGGTGGAAAAAAGGTGGGATGAGTACTGTGAAAGTAGTCGAATATGACATACAGTGGGGTCATGGTAGTTTGAAGTCAACTGCCGATTAATAGACTTTTTTGCCGAATGAGTATACGTTGCCCAGGGTGCACCACGTGGAGGTAAGTCTATCACACACCCCATATCTGCATAATTTGTGTTGACAATTCTTGATTTGTTAGCAGTTTATTCGATAAGGTCAGAATTAATTAAATTACCCCGACAGTAAATAGGTTACTTTCACGCATTAAGGTGGTTCAAATATTTTGACGTCTGCTCAACTTTAAAGTTTGTGGTTTGAAAAATAGAATTCAAATATGCATCCACGTAGTAAGAATGGATTTTCTGAGTTATGTGATCTTAAGAAATGTTGAACAAGTGTTTAACGTCGCGTTACAAGCGCATCAGAGTCATAGTAATTAAATTTATCACCTTTTTTCCTCATAAATGTTATTAACGAACCCCAATGTGCTCGTCTAATGAGACAAAAATATGTGTGTGTTAAACGTCATATTCCTTTCTTTTCTTAATATATATATATATATATATGGGTAGTATTGGAGATTGTAAGGGGGAACTAGGAATCAATTTCAAATGAACTGTTTTGGTTGGAATATTTTAGGCCAATGAGTTCTCAGTTAGTAAATTGCGCTGCATTGGAAATTGTCAACACAAGGAAATGTTTGGAAATGAAGAAACAATGGCCATAGTATATCATTGACCAAATGGAATAAATTTTTCACGTCATGTGAAACAGATTATTTTTAAGACTAACCGATTGCGATTATAAGTTATGACATTATATGCAAAGCAGTTGCTAATTTTCCATATATTTATTTATATCAAATGGCAGGCGTTTTGATAGCTACTGTTAGCCCTTTAGCTGACTTCGGGCTTCACAGAGGGGAAGAACATTAAAGTTACAAAATATCGAGAGGAGGAACAGAAGAGTGATTCACCGATGTAAAAGAGAAAGACACGAAGGTAGAAAAAAAGGTAAGGTAAAGCGAGTACTGTGAAATGGTGGAATATGACGTACTGTGGGGTCATGGCAGTTTGAAGTGAGAGGTCAACTGCCAGTTGATAGACTGTTTTGCCGTATGAGTATACGTTGCCCAGGGTGCACCAGTTTGTTTGCCGTATGAGTATACGTTGCCCAGGGTGCACCACGTGAAAGTAAGTCTATCGTACATCCCTCGGGATAAGAATATTAATTAATTAGTATCGTATTAACTTTGGAATTTCTTGAACATTTAGCAAGCGCTATTCTCGAATGGAACACATTTCAAAACAGCTATGGGCAATGCAAAAATTTGGTTTAGTGAAATCTTTCGCCAGAGCACCACCGATGCCTTTCCCCTACGTTATCGTGTGGCCGTTCTACTCGATTTTCCGTCTCATTTATCGTATCTACCGACGCAAGACTAACACCGATACACCCTTCTGTAAATCATGCTTTGTATTATCTGATTTATTTGTCCATAGGTTATGCAGTAGATGAGACCCAACAGCGACAGATTGTGAATTGGCAAAAATTCCGAAGCTTGGACTATTTGCATCGCCATCCCAAAGCTTACGAACAAATGAAGGATAAGGCAGTGAGTGGAAAGGATAGCAAGAAGGACTGGTGGATAGAAACGGGTTTAAAGCCAGAAAAACTGGAAACTCAAATTACCGCAATGGGCGCAAAACTGGCAACTGAGTTTATTGAGTCGCGCCTAGCAGGATTGGAAATGCGTCTTGCAATGACGAACTTGGCATCTACCAATGCATTAAGCCAAACTCCTGTAAGATCAATAATTCTGCTTTTTTCGATAGCACAAAGCGAAGGAAGCACTGTCAGTAAGATTGCACAACTTACCACATCATGTGTGAAATTTTTGTGCGTTGGTAACTGAATAACAAAGAATAGACTGTAGTAAAGTCGAAATGATTATTTTGAAATTAGATAATTAGTTTCAAGAGGTGTTATTCCAAATAGTAAATTTGTTTGGACATTCAGATCGAATGATCTTCTTTGAGACTTACAGGGTACAAGCATCATTCTCAAAATCAGAAGAAGAGGAGTCGAGTTGGAGAGGGAATGCTTTAATCCTTCCAAAAGAGTTCATGAGGCGGGAAATGTGAGTAGGGAGCGGAGGGTTGGTGGATTGATCTCGTAGTGTTAACTGCGGATCTTTCACATAGTCAACCCAAACACCAGACTAGTAAATTTCTCTCCTCACTAACGTCTGAATTTGACACACTTTCAACTCCAAATGTGAGTTTGCAGGAAACAATATTAACCGCATGACAATTTTTTGAAATTTCAGCCTATATGCACACTGGAAGCTCCGAATGTAACCCGAGATCACAGAGAGGTAAAATATAACATTCGGATTATTATTATAGTTTAACTCTATTCACTGTTTCCTTAATTATATATATATATATATATATCTATACCTTATGAAAAATAGACGAGAATTGCTTCTCTCGAAGAGGATGGGAAAATTATTGGTCGCTCACCAAGCAAAAGATTTAGTAAGTTTTTTGCAACTCTTTGAATTTCGGTTTAAATGTTATTAGTTATAGTAAAGAAGGGTTTTTACATATTAGTAAAAATGTTACCATGTAGATATTGGCATATTGTAAGATGATTTAAACTTATAACATAATAGCTCCAGGCAGAACTGAGTCATGGCAGAGGAAGAAGAGATAAGGGCAATTGATTACACCTTTCGGGCGGTTATAAATGAAAATGTATTAGTGCATACCTTGCTTTTAAACTATTGAATTGGACATATGCCATTTCACTTCAGATACA